AGTTGCCTTCGAATGTCAGCATTTCGGGACGTATGCCAGTTATGCAACAATAAGACGCAACCAAAGGTGAGATAAACTCATTCTGATTGTCTTCCAGAACCGGGAAGTTTGGTTGTCGATCCAAAATCTACTTTTACTGTCGTGATCACCACTTAGCACTGGGAAAGTACGAAGCCAAGCACAATCATGTACTGAATCCAAATATGGACAGACCGCCTCCAAAGTCGAGGCGTCCACATCTAAAAAGGAACAGTGCATTTAAAAGAGAATCTAACGACGGGCACAAACTTGAGATAGGCGAACTAGATGTTTGTGTCGAAACAGAAATTTCGCAAAAGGTGAATGATGATTGTGGCTTTGAGGAAGACTTTATTGATGACTATTCTGAGGCCTGGCTCAGTCGACAAATGAAGCCGCGCCACCCAATTGGGTCGGCTCAGGAGTTAGGGAATTCGCCACCTGCATTAATACCTCAGCAGGGTCCTCTTATATCTGGCCAAGGGAGACTTCCCTCTGTTACGCCAGCGGTGATGGTGGCTCAGATTGAGCCTTGTTTACAAAATATAAAGCTGCTTGCCCTATCCTCCGGGGCTGGGAGATTCCAGGCCTGCATGGACGAACTTCTTGCAATGGAGATGCGATGGCGCCGTGAATTTGGCGTTGACGAAATAAACCTTCCCTCGGGTGCTGCCTATGATCTATCTTCCAGCAGTTTGATGTGTCCACTCGACAATGGTTCTCCGTATCAAACAAGAAGAAAAAGACGTTCAGTTTACGTCAAGAATCCGTATTGGGACTGTCCTCCATCAGAGCTTCCATCTTCTTCCCTATTTGATCCCCCGCCTGACATGCCTCGGAATTCTTGGTTTTGTGACTGATTTTCGATAAGTCTTCTGACCTCTCCGTTGTATACTTTTCACCTATCCATTGTACATAGTCACTCTTTAACTGTATCTAGCCCAGGCTCACTTCGGCAGTGCTAACTCTTTTCTGCATTATTCAGATGACACGCTCTACCCAGTGGGAAAATGCCTGTTTCATTAAGTGTACTGTGAACCACGTCGCATCGCTACTTTACGTACCTCAAAGGGTTGTTCTGGTTTGTGCGCGCTATCTACAATGGATATCGCTTGTGCTGATGCGACAACTAGTGAGCGATACGAACAGGTCTGCGCAGTTTGTAATTTTCGAAAATCTGACTTAGATCCGTGGTACGACTACTAATGTCTAAGCAACGACCTGTGAATTGTTTACTTTGATCGCGTTCTTAGTACATTGGCCTACCCCATTTCTCGGTAGATGTCTATGTACCTTGTCGCCTCTTCAGGAACGAATATTCTTTCCGTTCCCTGTCCAAGTTAACCAAGGAAGGGATTCCCGTTCTTCATATGTATCTGTGTGATGGGCGGGAAAAATTAGATATGCAGTGTAACTTCGGTTAACGAGTTTAATCTGTTCCAGCTGCAGGGTACCAAGAACCCCCACCCTGGAAGCACGACTCAACGGCGGATACAGGCACACGCATGCACTGATAACTCGTTAACTGCTTAAGTCATTCGTAAATCCCGTAAACGGTATCGGATGAAAGCAACTACGTCCCACAAAATAATTGTGGTTTCAGTGGAGCCCCGAGGGACGAGCAGCTACATCTACGAGCATTACAAGTTCGTCAATCGAGATATATTTCCTCCGAGTGGCTCGCATGTTGTCTGAAGTGCTCGTAGCTGGAGCTGC